ATTCCAGTGGTTTTTTTATGCTGTCACAACACTTTTAACTTTTGCTTCACACTCTGAAACACAGTTTTCATCTTCATTCATATTCTAACTTTATTTTCATAGTTCATTCTTTTTCTCTCACCTCCCTTATACATTGTGCCCCCCCCGCTTCCTGTCCTTCCTTCCTTCAGTCCTTTCACTTAATTTCATAATACAGTCTACTAAAGCTGAGTCTTTTGCAACTGAAGATAGTCATAAGTGTTGCCCTACAACAACGACATGTTGCGTAAACTGTCATTGTCAAAGTCAGAATGTCTCACTAGTGCGCACTCATTTGGAATAATGTAGAAAATAAAAGTGGGTGACGGGGTGAAGGAGAGCCAAAGAGAACATGTGAACACAGTCTGGACAGACATTCACTCAGTGTAGACTCTTGACCTTTCTTAATGAAAATAAAAGAACGTTACCCTGTCTCCTACAAAATGTACTAAGAATTTTCTTTTTTGTGTAAAAATGATTGATTTCTCTATTGTGTTGCATTCTTATACTGAGCAGAGGTCATGGGCAGAATGGTGAGAGGGTTGGAGTTCATGGTTGTTTAGGTTTAGGCTATAGAAACACTTTATAGCAGTTTTAGTTCAGTGCCATAACTTATCCTTTGTTAATGCTGCAACACTAGATTGATTTATTGTATATGAGCAAGCTGTATCTTGTTTTAAGAGTATTAAATGTGTTTTTCTTTCATTTTCTATGTAACTGAGTTGGATGGTTTGATGGACTGATTGATGGATGTCAGTGTGCATGTTTACAGAACTGGAATTACATCATTGTAACTTCTATTTCATCGTGTGTGTTACTGAAAAGGAAACCATGCAGTCACTGTGAGCATGTTGTTTTCCTCACTGTGATGGAGAGCAGGGATCACCTGCTTACAGCGTGTGTTACTGAACAACTCGCATCTTATTATCTGCACTATTAACTATCTCCAGTGGCTCTGGAAAGTTGCAGGAGGAAACAAAAAGCTAAAGAAAAATGATGACATTTGTTGCTGTTATCATGTTGTGACTGTATCTTCTTAGATATAAGTTACTTTTTTGAAGATGCACCCATCAGCCAGAATAAACATGGTCTTTGGTATGTAGCAACCAGATGTACAGGCTCTAAACCTACAGTATGATTTAAACCTTTAAATCCACTTTTAGGGAAAAATCGTGGCTTTGGTTAAATATTGTAAATCTCTCATCTCAGGCTTCAAGATAGGTCATTCCCAACTATAAGATCATTAATCACACCTTTGTTGTCAGGAGGAGGTACCATAGGGAAAACAAATGAAATGTATAGACAGTTGCAAAAACTTTCAGTGTAATTATTGTTGAATAAAAAAAACATTAACGGTGCAACATTAGAAATTCTGTAGCACATATTTTCTAATGTAACAAGGTGGAAGAGGTTTAGCTAAAGCCAAGTCTGTCTTGCTTAACCAAGATTAAACTGAATGCAGTCTGTTGCACTCTGATGTCTTCCTGTTGGCAGTGATCCTAAAATGACATGGTTTTAGGTTACCAAAGGTTTGTCTGGCAAGAAATCCACTTGTCAGTCAGTGTGACTTTTGTTCTGCACTTTGAGCTAAACAATACAAAGCTCAAGATATAATTTTCAATACTTTGGCATATATCGATTGTTTAAACCCAGGACTCCTGGACTTGTGCCCATAGGAACAAATATAAGATTCTTTGGGTACAAGTAACAAAGGCACAGTGCTATTAGAAGAACAAAAACACTGAAACTTTAGTGCACTTATGAGATGAAGCTTAAAACATTGAAGCTATTATTAAAGTTCCATTTCATTAAAAACCACAATACCCTATTTTTGTGTATTGTGGCTTTTAATACTTTGTTGCCTTTATGTAACTTTTTTATTTTAAGACTAAGTGAATTACTAAGTGCGATGTTCGAAGGTCACTGGGGAAAATACTATTACCCTATTTTTGTGTGTTGTGGTTTTAATGCTTTGTTGCCTTTATGGAACTTTTTTATTTTAAGACTAAGTGTTCTTTCTGGCTTTTGACGCCTTACCTGACTCCAAGAGAGCTGCAGAAGAATTCCTCTATGCCTAGACTGTCTGTTTATGCATAAATGGCAAATAAAAATCTTGACTTGACTCATTACTATGCATAAAATACAAATACAACCATGTGTGAACATAATTTGAGATTAGATTTGAAACTGCTGACTTTGACACACAAAGGACTCGGCCTCACCACGTTGTTAAAATGCATCATACTGAGCAGACTGTCTACAACCCGAGAGCTGATTTGTGACTTTGGGATGCAAGCGTGTATCTTGAGTGCCAGACTTACGTGGGTGACTGTGCCACCTTCCGGCTATGACACAGAGGGCATTAATTACCTTGTCTTTGAGGGGACAATCTAATCTCTGGGACACATGGCACATAAACCTGAGCATCCCGGGAGGGATCCGCTGCAGCTCTTCTTCACAATTAAAGGCAGGACGGTTCTGAGGAAAGAAAGAGAGGCTGAGAAGGCACGTCTAGGACACATCATAAGGTCAAAAGCTTAGCAGTTAAGTGTCAAGTGGAGGAGCTGAGATGAAGTAATTTTATTTATTTATTTTCTTATGTTAAAGCACTTGCACATCTTATTTACCAGTTTGGGGCTATAAAGCCGTTTGTGAAAACCCCCCTATTCATGTAAATACAGCCACCAAAAACAGCTTTGCATCTTAGATCTAATTTTCTCTTTGCTTTGAACCTTTAGCAGTTCAGTTTATAATAGCAAATAATTTTATGTGAATTGAAAGGAGAACTCTACCAGTTGTACATTTTTAGTTACAGACAAGTATCATATAGACCATAAAAAGCTGAATTGTGTCATTGTTATATATGGATCATTTTGTGTTTGAGTGATTTACGATGAATAGAGTTTATTTTTAGTGAAAGCCTTCCACATCCTTCTTTCTTCTGTTGTCTCGCATTTCTTTCATTTTCTTTGATTAAAGATAATAGGCCACACCTCTAAACAAATATACCACACTGCTGAATCACTCTATAATACACTATAGAGCATAGTAATGCAGTCAGTGCAGAGAACTAATTAAACTGTTGATCTCTCTCTCTCTCTCTCTCTCCTGCAGGGAGAGCGTCAGGACTCGGATGTCGTTGAAGAAAGAAACGCCCAGGTGCAGCTGGAGAAGGCTAAGGTACTTTCTCACTCGCATCATGGTCTCACCTAATCCAACCCTCGCAGACTCTTTTTTTCCCAGAGAGGTTGCTGCCAAGGACATGATTACATCACAGACAGGAAACACAGACATCGGGACATCAGATTAGCAAGATTCTGCTATTTAAATGATGTGTTGTAGTCTTCATCTTTGCCATCACTTTGCTTTATTGCTTTTAGTAGAAAATAAAATAGTAGTTCAGATCACCAGAGGTGATACATAAGTTCATCCAGGATGAGTTTACTATATACTAACAAAAACTACAATCCAAAAGTAAGTCTTCTGTTTCTTCCCCAATAATCAGTAACAATATTCTGGGCACAATGTATAAAATAAGGAAAAAGAAAACAGGGTAAAACAAAATTGGAAAGAAAATCATGATAAGAGGGGGAGAGGTGTCAATTCCACTTCAAGATGATCACAGTGCTAGAGGCACCCAGGCCTCACATATCCATTTTGCATAGTTTACCATGGCAGGTAACAGTGGTGCGGTGATTGAAGGTTGAAATCTTGGTGCCTCCAGTCCACGTATCGAAGTGTCCTTGGGCAAGGCACTGAAACCCCCCCATTGCCCCCGATGGTTAGAGCCATTGGTTGAGTTGGCGCCGCAGATGGCTGCCTTGGTTCTGTACTGGAAACATATTCCTTGTGTGTGACATACTTGGCCAATAAAGATGTAGGAGATAGGGTTGTTTTTATTAGTATCAGTTTTAATACACAAAGACATCAAAATATCACAGCTGATGTCGAACTCTTCCTCTCTCTTTTACACAGCGATTACTGATGATGAATATTGAATTAAATCCTCCCCCCACAGATTTAATGTGCTCCCCGGGTGCTTTGTAATTAAGGGGGCCGACACACTTGGCCCGTTCCCTGCTGACCCCACAGCCACTTCTTTGGCCTCATCTTTTCAAAGTGGAATGATTAGCCGCATGATCGGCATGCCGCTGCCATTTGTCTCTGATAGGATTACAACACCAGCAGGCTTTCAGTCAGGAGGAAGCATATGGTGATACTGTGCAGCACAGAGGAAGATGCAATATGCTTTTTCACAGCAGACATTTTGACTTGCTATAGTAGGAAAAACACAGAGGTTACAAACCCTTTTGTTCATGTGTCCCACTAAGTGATGCAAGTGTGAAAGGTAATTAGTATGAACAAAACCAGGACCCTGAAACTGAGGCAACTAAATTGAATTCAGGTTGTGTGCTTATATGCAAGTTTGGAAAAATCTGGAAGCAACTGTATTGTCGAGTTGAGGCAGGTCGAATTATCTGTAGAACACATTCAAAACCAAATAAAACCAAGTATTTGAGAAATTTTAAAATGCATTTAAATTATTACAGTGCATTTAAATAAATCCAGAAAAAATGTAAAACAAGAAAACCTTTTAATATTTGTTTAAATTATGTCAAAGGCAGCACCATGTCTTTCAACAGGCTGAAACCCAATCCTGTTATGGTAGCTCGACACAACTGTGAGCGAGCAGAGAATAAACAGACCCAGGCGGCTGGCTTCGGTGCAAGTAGTGAATTTATTTACAGTGCTAACAGAGGTGAAATAACAATATACAAAAATGGATGGAATGAATATCACCGGGTGTTGACCAACAGTGGTAGAGGGGTTATTGTCCGTGGAGTGATGTAGGCTGGCTGCGAGGGTAGGAGTCACTCCTGGGCTGGTCAAGGTGGAGATCCGGTTGACTGAGGAGGTAACAGAGAGTTCAATGGATGAGGGGACTGTGCATCGACCTGTGAAAGTGGTTGGTGGAGCTGGGGATGCCAAGGTCCAGAGGAGAGATCCAGGTAAAACAAAGAGAACGCTAGGAATAAATAACATAGGTGGAAACAGGAGAAAAATAGAACAATACATAAATGCAAGGGAGGCTAACGACAGAGAAAGAACTAGCAAGGGAGTGATGGGAAAGCCGAGTATAAATAGGGAGTGACAAAGGAGGCGCAGCTGAAGAGTGTCAGAAAATCAGGACAGGTGTGTTAATCAAGAGAGTCAGTGAGAAGGAGCAGACTAGAGCGAGAAAGAGAGAAGAGAGGAAGGTGCAGCCGAGCAAACCTGACAAATCCATGTATCTCAGTCTCCTTTTGACAAGATTTGCCATGGTCTGACATCTGTCACAATGTGAATTTTGCACTGCATTATTCTCCACAGTTGGTTTATACATGGCTCATGATGCTGATGCATTATCTAGTTTAGTTACATAACCCTATATAAAGGAACAAGCGATTAGTTTATAAACTATATATACTCACATGATGGAATGATTCCAGAATATGTAGATACTAACACTGTGTGATCCTCACTACTTGAGCAGAGTGCAGCTCTTTCCTGTTAAATGCTAACAACAAAAATCATTAGATTGCATGGAAAGTCCACTCTAAATTATATAATTATGTTGGCATGAAAGGGTATAAAAACAGTATTTACAGCTTTGCACAAGCATGGAGCCCATGTATTGTATGTTCTAAATAACAATCCCATTTGTGTTTCAAAAGCACATTTGTTTAATGTGGTGCTAGAAATATTTCTGTGCCCTGTGTCCTCAGTATAAGCCTGTGGCATTCGCTGTGCGCTGCAACTTCTCTTACACTCCAGCAGACGATGACAATGTCCCTGTACCGGGACAGGCTGTCACCTTTGATGCCAGGGACTTCCTACACATCAAAGAGGTTTGAAACAAACACATACACACACACACACACACACATCACAGGTGGAGTTCCTACATAGACTTAGCTGATAAGGCTTGGGACTCTGAATTAAGGATTTGGATTAAAGTGCAGGTGGATACACACTAGAGCAGATAACAGTGACATAAAATGCAATAATGCTGGGACTGAATTGAATTAGTAACATTGTCAGAGTAAAACCTATTACCTTTATGCAGCAAGTCCCCTAATCCAAGACAATTGTTTCCAAGGGGAGACTAAAGAATGAAAGTAACCTTGAAGTTGACTTTGAAATATATGAAAATGTGACACATGCCAGGGAATTAAGCCTTACATTTATACTTTTTTAAACTTGTTCAGAAGTTTAACAATGATTGGTGGATCGGACGGCCGGTGAAGGAGGATGGTGTGGTGGGCTTCATCCCCAGTCCAGTCAATCTGGAAACCATTCTGATCAGAAGAGAAGTCCAGGCGAGGAAAGCTGCCAAGGCCTTAGCTAAGTAAGCATATCATGCTTCTTCTTCTCCTTGAATCAACACGGAAAGGCGTTACTGTATACACAAACCTACTATAGGGGGCTGGGGGGGATTTGCCAACTAAACTTTATATAGCTGTGTCTTAATATAAGTCAATATAAAATCATTAAGCACAAAATCTTTTATTACGTGGACATACTGTATAGTGCTGTATTTTCATTATGACTGAAGAATTGAAATTTAAGCTATTTGTTCATTGTCTTTAGTGGGGAAACGTGAGCTCACCCTGCACTTTTTTCTCATTTCAGCAAAGCAGCAGCTCAAGCAGCTCAAGATATGAACTCAAAGAAATACACTCCGCCATCACAAGGTCAGTTTGTACTAGGTCATGTAGAAAGACTTTCTGATGTCAGATTTAACCATTATTGAGTTAATTTTCGTATCCCCCTCTATAAATAGCTAATCAGCAAGTGAAAAAGAAACCGGTAAGTGACTGAATCTTTGTTCTGTTTACATTCTCTATCATCCCATTCCTTATCATTATAACATCATTCACATTGACTCTGTTTGACATATCACTTTTAGTGATATGTTAATTGCAGTGTGAACAGATAACATTTTGAGATATACTGTACCTAATACACTGAATTAATCCTGTGTTTTATTTATGTATTTATTGTGGTTCTAGGGGGAGCATGTGGCTATGTATGATGTAGTGCCTACAATGCGTCCTGTGGTTTTAATGGGACCATCACTGAAGGGCTTAGAGGTGATTCTACCTCATACACCCTAATCTTAGCTATTTGGAAGTTTCCTTTGACTTGTGAAGGGCCTAAGATGCTGTAGAGCCGAGACACCTAATCTAGTATTTCAAATAAATCTTGGTGTTTTGTGTTGAAGTCAAGAAACATTTAATTTAAACTCCATGTCTTCTGTGTAATTCCAGGTTACAGATATGATGCAAAAAGCACTATTTGACTTTTTAAAACATCGATTTGAAGGCAGGTAAGTTCTGATTTATTTCTTCATTGTCATATCTCTTACGTGGAAACAAAACAATAAAAAATCATGACTGTGTAATAATACTTGTTACTTTGGCTGTTTGTCAGGATTACTATTACACGGGTCACAGCAGACATCTCCCTGGCTAAACGATCCATCCTCAACAACCCTGGCAAAAAAGCCTTAATTGACCGATCCAACACCCGCTCCAATTTAGGTAGGTGGTTTTATCATCCTAACCTCCAGCCAATAACATGGCTTATCCTTGGCACCCCTTTAATCTGTTTGGAGAGCAGGAAGGTTGAAGTACACCACATCAGGAGAATTGTATCAGTCACTGCAAACAAAACTAAACTGATTTCTAAAATTTATCTATTTATTTATAGGCTTTGCTGCCGAGAGTTAGATAAGAAGATTCGTGTCACTGTTATGCATGTCCATAAATGACAAAATTACAACTAGCAATTGATTAGCTTAGCATTAAGATTGGAAACAAATAGCCTAACTTGATCAAAAGGTTAAAAAAGAGAAAAGAAATACAGCCTACCAACACCACCGAAGTTCAGTAATTACCATATTATATCTTTATTTAATCTAGGCTAACAGTATCCCCCTATTTCCAGTCTTTCTCCTAAGTAAAGCTAATCAAATACTGGCTGTGGCTTTAGATCTACTGTACAGTCAAAAGGCTGGCATCAATCTTCTCATCTAAAACTTATCAAGTAAGTGAATACCTTGAAATATCCCTCTAACAACACAACCGAATATATAGGCCGTAGAGCTGTGTGAGCGAAAATTGTATGGTAGTGAGTTTGCTGCGCATTTAATGGCCATTTGCTGATCTTACCACAGTTACATCACATGGTACTGTATGCTATTCTAAATTTCCCCCTTAAAATAAGAAATAATGTGTATCTAACAGAAGGGAGATAAAATTTACTTGGTTTTCTCTACTCTTGTCTTTCTCATTGCTCCCTGATCCCAGATGCTGCCGGTATGTATGATTGAGAGCACCGGTAGTCCATGTGTGTTTGAATGCTTCACACTCTCTTCCATTCTTCCTTTCACTTCATCACACTATCTGTACCAGCACACACTTTTGTAATATTGTAACAGGGCATTGACTTGCTTTCTTTATAGCAGTTTAAAATGAGACTGAACTTCAATCAAGATTATTTTAGTAGGTTGATAAATATGTCAGATGTAATTTGAGAGTTAAAGGACTTAAAGCCTCGGTGTCTTCTGTGCCCTGCTTTCCTGCTGCCCATCTAGTGGACAGTCTTTAAATTGCTACTTCCATGAGTGTAACACTTCCTGTGTCTCTTCATGAATTTGTTAAACAGGAACATAAAAATACACCACTTAATTAGGTAGTCTTATTGAGTAGGTAGTGTGTCTTTGTGTACAGTTTCTAATTTGTTTCCAGGGCCAATCTCCATTTGTCATGACAAAAATACTATTAAAGACTATGATATTCTAAAAATGTCCTTATAAATTGCCTGTGAGATATAGTGTCTGGTTTTAAATGTAAACAAGATAATTTACAATACACACACCATGGATTTTTTGGGAACATCATGCTTTTACTCTTTGCTTTTGCAGCCCAGATCCAGGGGGAGGTGGAGCGTATCTTTGAGCTTGCCCGCAGCCTGCAGCTGGTGGTTCTAGATGCAGATACAGTAAACCACCCTCTTCAGGTGTCTAAGACCTCCCTGGCTCCAATCCTGGTCTATGTTAAGATCTCCTCACCAAAAGTGAGCTTCCTCAGAGAGTTCTGTACAACTAGATAAAGTACATTTTCCTGAGTCACGCCTTCCTTTGGACTGACTGCTCATCACTTCTCTCAGAATTTTGTACACTAAATGATCAGAATCATGTAAAACGGCAACTATAACATTTTAAATTCTTTCTGGCTGTTTTCCCCCTCCCCCTCTTCACTCCTCTTCTGTAGGTGTTAACCAGACTGATAAAGACTAGAGGGAAGTCTCAGACAAAGCATCTTAATGTTCAGCTGGTGGCAGCAGACAAACTTGCCCAGTGTCCACCAGTGAGTAACATCTAGTAGCCACTGTGTGAAATTGGTGTAGTAGTTGCTAGTGTTATCATATCAAGTTATAATTATAGTTTTTTCAGTTGTTGTACAGAATGATACATGTTGCTTTATCTCTAGTTAAAGTTGTTAAACTTAGCAGAAAATGGACAAAGCTCTACTGACTTGGGTATAAAATGGAAATACTGTGCATGGCCTGCTGACTTTATGCAGTCCACATCTTTCACTGCTGACAGTGAGATCATGCCCTCACTATTTTTGTGTGAAAATACTGGGGGTGTTGTGGCTCAGAGGGAGTTTACACATGATGTTTATTTTGTTTAAGCTAATTTCTGTTTTTTAGACTATGTGTATTTTAATTTACTACTGTTAGGCCAACAAAAAATAAATCACTACAGTATTTAGACCTTCATGCCAGAAAATAACACTTATGGTAAATATAATTAAAAAGCCAACATAATCAATACATTATTAAAAATCCCAATAAGGTTTTGTTTTTACTCGTGACTAAGGCTCTGCATTTATGCATACTGTAGAGAAGAAGTGCTATAGACTTCAAATTCAGCATGATGCCAAATTTTACACTGAATGTTCATGTGGGTGTCCCTTTTTTGGGATGACATTATTTCCTTTCTCTGAATCTCATTGCAAGACTTACTCATGGACTGATTGTCAACGGAGTATTATATTTAAAGCTCACCAACACGTCTGCCACAGTTGGCATTTAATCCACTGCCTGAGTTACAGATTAATCTTTTCTGATGGTTTTTGACTGTTGTCCTTAATTTCTGTTTCCTGTAGGAAATGTTTGATGTCATCTTAGATGAGAACCAGCTAACAGATGCTTGTGAACACATTGCTGATTACCTGGAGTCTTACTGGAGAGCCACTCATCCACCAGAGATGGAGCCCACCAACGCACTGGTGGCCCAGCTGGCTGAGAATACACTGCCCACTAGTCCTTCAGCAATACCGGTACATGAAACACAATCACATATGGGAAGAACTAAGTACACTTTTGTCTCATCCCATCCCACTCATGTCATATGTACACAGAGTCTGTCACACAGAATGCTAATTGTGAACAGACAGACTTCACCAAGTGCTGCATCTGTATTGGTTTTCATGTATTTATCTAACATTTTCATTTCATTTCTCCCCATTGTATTCCACTGAAAAGTTGAGGAAATAAGATAAGCCTACCTCTGGTGAGCGGGATACGTAATTCTACTATAATCATTATTCCACTGCAGTAATAGACTTTGAGTAGTGCCTTCTTAGAAGATAGCTAGAAATTATGTATGTGTGTGTGTCTACGGTGTAAAAAAAACTGATAAATATGGGTATGGTTTCTTTTTATAAGCAATCCAAGAAGAAGAAACCTTAATATCACATAGAATCTCTAAAATGTCAAACTGATTGCAAAGGCATCAGTCACAGAGACTTATTTTTGTGCTCTTGACAAAACAGCCATAAACATGCAGTAATGGTGTGAGCTGTCTATTGTAACTGTAAAACTGACATTTCTAATCAGCCTTAATTATGAAAAGCCACCCACCATCTTAGATAAATCCGCTGCTCTAATTAAATCACTGTAGACGAATACTGAAGCTAATATTGCATTTTGTTTATGGCACAATTTTTTTTTCATGTTGATCTAACCATAAATCCCGAGTCACTCTAGTTTGTTCTCCTGCTTCCAGCGTTTGTACACACCTCAAAATTACACTAGTCTGAAAGTAAAACTTTACTCAAATTGTGATATCTGATCAAGAGTTCATATTATATAATATTTAATTAAGTTATATAATATTGTATTACATTAAATTAATTAAGTTATTTAATATTTTATTACATTAAATAATTAAGTGATAAAAATCAATCATCAATGAAAACTGGATCAGTTCATTAATAGTGCAAATAATAGTACAGTAGTTGCAGCGACTGTAAAACAGAGAGAAGCACAAGGCTCTAATGAATGGCCAAAGGTCCCATGATAAAAATGAGTATTATCATCAAAAATATTCAAATTGCATCTGGTAGTTTACGACTTGAGGACCTGCCTCCATAATAGCAGCTGTGTCCGTTTACAGTATGTTTGTGTGTATGCTTGGAAATACAGTTATGTAGGTGCCTAACTTTGAGGACATATCATTAGGATTACATTATGTTGCCTTTTTTGTCACAGGATGAGCAGAAAAACAAGAAGTCAGCAGCCCCAAAGAGGAAGGGTTCATGTGAGAACCACCTAGACCAGGAGCCTGCTTCAGCTCAGGCCCAGAAACAGAACACTGAGGAGGGCCAAAGAGATGAGAAAGAGCACCTCCTGAAGACTGAACCAAAGAGACCCCAGCACACCCACCACCATCACCACCGCCGCCGCCGGATGGAGCACCACAGCCACACCCAGCACAGCCAAACATCTGGTGGCATGAATGTACAGTCGAGCAATGACTTCAGCCAGAGGCTTCTCCATAGGCACCCGCCTGAGGACAGGGAGGAGGAGGTGGAAGATGTGGTGGAGGAAGGCAAGGACTATAACCACCGGGGCCATAACCACCACCATCATAACAGCAACCATCACCATCACCAGCGCCATCAACATCACCGTGGGAACAGCCAGCAACATGTCAGAGAAAACTATGAACAGCAGCACAGTGAGCGCAATCGGCAGCACAGGCATCACCAGCATATTCCACCACGGACACACCACACGGGCCACTATCCCATACACAATCATCACAACTACCATCAGTACCACGGCAGAGACAGGGACAGAGATAGGAATAGGGATAAGGACAGG